GTGTGTGTGTGTGTGTGTGTGTGTGTGTGTGGCGGGGGGGACATTTGGGGCAATTTTAAGACAAAACGCCTACCTTTGGGGACAATTGGTGCATTTGGGGACAAAAGTCGAGTCCCCATTTTTTAAAATGTCATTGGTGGGTTGGGGGATTGGTTTAGGACCAAGGTGTGAATTGAGTTTAGGTTAGTTTTAGGGTCAGGTAGGTGCCTGTGAGGTTAGCCTTAGGGTTTGTGGTCATGGTTAGGCTGTAGAAATGTAATGGAAGTCAATGGAATGTCCCCAATTAGATAGCTGTGCAAACTTGTGTGTGTGTGTGTGTGTGTGTGTTTGTTCATCTTTTAGCAAAACCATCTCATGATGGATATACCTCTACAATTAACCATAGCAAACATTAAAAATGGCTGTAACTGAGCTGAGATTGGGTGTGGTTGTAGCTAATAGTCATCCCAATTTATGCCCTGAGTCCTAAATGATCATGTGAGATTTAAGTTTGCCATTAACTATAAGTCTACCCAGTCTGGCCCTTGCCTTCCTACGCAGCTCYGCTCAATTCTAGTTTCCCTTCACTGCTCCTTGTATGAAGCAAAGTGAAAGACGGGGTCTGGTTTAAAACAGGCTAAAGTCTACCCAGCTTGTTAGCAAAATATCTTATAAACCAGCTGGATGGATTTTAATGAAACTCTCAGAAAGTAAGCAATCATTACATGAGCATTGAAGATGGAGACAGCAGCATATGGCAAACACAAAAATGTCTACCACGCCTTGAAATGTGCATTTTATATTAAAATATCTTTTTTCTCTGCTCTGTTTCACTTTCATTTAAAACAAAATGACAGTCTGCTGTAAATTTGATAGCACGTTAGTTTCTGTCACTACAATGCATGGTAGCTTTGTTGCGATGGCTAGCAGGAAAGACTGAAAATAAAACCAGTTTTCAGTTTGGTAACATTATATGTTGTTTGAACAAGTGAGAAGTTTATCATCATTTTTTCAGAGGAGAYTTGGAGCTGAGGTGTTTCTTCACCCTCAAAGGCTCCTCACAGGCGGGGTTTTGTCCTGGAACGTGTAACACACCTGTTTTTTTCCCTGCAGCTCTTTAGGGTTGGACAGCTTTAAAAGAGCTCAGCAGCAGCAGCAGCAGCAGCAGCAGTCTTATACTCAACCCTCTTGTAGCGTCCAGGTGAGTATTTTATACTTCATCTTCATTTCTGTTTGTAGTAAATCAACCCATGTTGGACTGTTTGTGTATAAGTTTACATGTTTTAGTGCATCAGACAAAAAAAGGTTTTGCAAAGTWTTAAAAGTAAGTAACTGAATTGCTTGTTGGTAGACTTGCCAAATGATTTCTTACTTAATTATCAYGCAACTGAAAGCATGTTGCTCGATAACAGTAGGGGAAACACAGCATTATGTAAAAGAACAAGTATTACAATCTTTTAACTTTTAAATTTGTTTATTTTACTGCACTGAATAAGGATTTTAAAATTAAAAATTGTTTTAAAATCAAATTTCTTTTATTTTATTTAAAACATGTGTTTGTTTCATTAAAAAACTAAACAAACTCTACACACAACAGAAGAAAAAATATCAATAAAATGAAAGGTATAGCAG